GTAAAAATAAATCTTAAGCAAAAAAAAGAAAGCTGGTATTACCTTCTAGTTGCAATGATGCCAACATCCTGAATTTGACTTTTAACATCATTCACTACTAAGAGAAATTAAACTGCTTCTTTGAACTACCTTAAAGATGTAGTTTAAAACAGGTGGGCATGGTGGCTCACCCCTTTAATCCAGTGCTCTGGAGGCAGAGGCAGGTGGAGCTCTGTGAGGCCAGCCTGGTCTACAAAGGGAGTTCCATCACGGCCAGAGCTAAAACCACAGAAACCCTGACTCAAAAAACAAAACAACAACAAAAACTAAAACTAAAAACCAAAAACATGAAACGAAAGAAAGAAAAAGTAGATTAATCTAGAGCTGGCAAGAGATACAGTGGAACCACCGGTTCTATCAAAAAGTCCGAGTGAGTTTTAAAAGGACAGGGTTATGGCACAGGGTTATCTTGAATTAGTTTCTACTAACAAATATGAGGCAACATGAATACTAAAATAATTTCGTAAAAACAATTTTGAGCTGGCCTCCTACACACCAGGCTAGTCTCACATTCACTGTGCAGCTAAGGATGACCTCCTGGCTGTCACATGCACACCGCAGCACACACCTGTGTGCGCCCCCGGCAAAGGGCCATTAGGCCTGGTGCAGCTTCCGCTGACACTGACTAGGGAAGCAGTCAGGCAGAGTTCCAGGCCTGATGTTGGAGAATCTGTCCAGAGATGAACAACCAATGGCAGGCTAGGAGATGGTGTGGATGGGCCGCCCAAAGCTATATAACGTGCTCTCTCTTCTGGAATAAAAGATCTGCAGCCGCTTGCCCTCGGTTTGCATTCACCTGATTCTCAGTGTCTGTGTGATGACTCTGTGCCTCTTACCCCCTCGGCTTGGACCCCCTGTCCTCACCCACAGGATAGACCCTTGGGAGGAGGACCAACACATACCCAACAATAAATAAAATATAATTTACAAAAAAAGGGAGGGGCAGATGTAGCGATGTACATTTGTAATCCCAGAACTCCAGAGGCAGAGACTGGACAGTAGACTGAGTGGTTAGCTCTAGGCCAGTGAGGGACTGTGGCATAAATCAAAGTGACTGGTTCCCAACGGACAACTGAGGGTGTCCTCTGACCTCGATGTGCACACACATTCTCTTTTGTGCACTAGCTTGTGTTAGCTCACACATCTTGATGCACTAGCCCACTCCCAGGCTGCTTAGGCGCCTGTGATGTCATCATTTGTCCCCACCATCAGGGGTATGGAATTAAAAGAGCCCTGCCTCTTCTCTCTCTCCTCTTTTGCACTGTCTCATTTTCTTTCCTGGGGGATCCCCGCCATGTCTCTGTCTGTCTGTCTGTCTGTCTGTCTCCACTTCCATCCATAAACTCTTTCCTATCAGATGTGTTGTATGTGTGGCATCATTATTATATAAATACTAACAGCGTGCAAGTGCACAAACACATATACTTATGATTCACAAAAAGTGTGAATCATAATATTTCTGTGAATCATAATATAATAAAAATACTTTATCACATTTTATAAATTTGTTTCCACATATTTTAGAAAGAAAACAGAAAGCCATGACATAGATAAGAGTGTTGAAGAATGTAGTTTTCTCCTGAAAAGAAGGTAGGGGCCATGAGAGGAGCCACAGAGGCGCTGCGGCATCAGCTGCTCCAGCTGGTGACGTACAGAGGCTGGATCTTCATGCAGCAAGGGTCTGAGCCTCAGGGTCTGTCGGATGTCCTCCACCACTGCTGGAGAGCTGCACAACTGTATGGAGCCCAAACGTTACCCCTCACCCCGATCTGATCCTCCTTCTCAACCTCACCCACTTTTGCCTGATCCTCCCTCCTAGTCCTGAGCACTTCCAGCCCTGGGCCAATCAATCCACCAGGCTTGGGCCACTGTCCAAAGGAGAACAGGCCAGAGGCTCTGGGGATCTACAGCCACGTGTCAGCCTCTCCTGTCCCAGTCTCTGAGATCTTGCCTTGCCAGGGTTGTTCTTGGTTCCAGGCTTGACTGCGGTTCCCTCCCATGCCCTTGTCTACAGCTGCTGACTTCCTCCATTCTAGTGCAGTCCCTGGCTCTCTTTTAGCAGATCTATGCCTTGCCCTTGTCCTGATTCAGGACATGGGCTCCTTGCCCCAGAACCCCACCCTGCCTCCACACACTGGTCCTCCCAGCTGAGGCCTTCACAGAGGATGAACTGAAATATTTAACCTGTTATCTCCTGGATTTCCAGGCCCTCCATCTTGCCCTGCAAAAGGACAGCTTGGAGCTTCTGAGTCCATAAACAGAATTACCAACCCAACTATGACACAGAATGCCAAAGATATGTAGGTAATTAAGGAAGCTTTAAGCAGGAATAACTGTAGCTCTCTAGGAACTGACTAGACTGAAGAACATACCCACAGAGCCTCCAGGCTCAAGATTGCCTGCTCTATCCTTGTGCTGGCTAGATTTATGTCAACTTGATACAAGAGGAGTCCTTTTAGAAGAGGGACTCTCAACTGGAAAAATGCCTCTGTAAGATTTGTCTGTATGTAAGTCTGTAGTGCATTTTCTTCACTAATGTGGGAGGGCCCAGCCCATTTTTGAGTGGTGCCATTTCTGTGGGCTCATGGTCCTGGCTGAGCAAACCAGGAGGGATCAATCAGTAAGCAGTGTTCCTCCCTGACCTCCTCAGTGATGGTCTGTAACCTGGAAGTATAAGTAAGTTGCTTTTGGTCACAGTGTTCGGTTACACCAGTAGAAACCCTAACTAAAATAATCCCTTTAGAGCTGGAGAGCTGGCTCAGAGCTTAGGAGCACTGGCTGCTCTTCCAGAGGACCTGGGTTCAATTTCCAGCACCCCCACGGCAACTCACAACTCTCTGTAACTCCAAGATCTGACACTCTCAAACGGACATACATACAGGCTAAACACCAATACACATAATTTTTTTTTTAAATCTCTTTTATTTGCCTCCAAAAGTATTTAGGAACCCAAGAAAGTAAAGTCAGAAAAAGGATGGCTCAACCAAGTATGGTAATGAAGGCCTCAGACCAGCTACTTACTTGAGAGGCAGGAGCAGGAGGACCATGGGCATGTCAACGTAGCCTGTCTCAAAAAGAGAGGGCTAGGGATGTAGCCCAGCAGTGCAGCACTTGCCTGAAATCCATCAGGAAGAACTGGGTAGTGCCATGCAGTGGTAGTGTTTGCCCAGAATCCTCCAGTGAGGAGCCATTAGTATGGCTCAGTAGGAGAGACTTATTTGCCATCCCCCAGGGTTTCTGGGGACATGGCTCAGTGGCAGAACACTTGCATGGATGAGGCCCTAGGTTCAACTTCCAGTTTTTCCCTCTTAGCCTCAGTGTCTGTGACTCAGCATGTTATGCCTGTGAGCCACCAGTTGCTACATCTCCACACTAGAGAATTCTGTAACCAAAGCCTAACAAAAACAACTTAAGGGAGGATGGGTCTATTTTGGCTCATGGCTTCAGAAGGGTCAGTGTGCGGCTGCTGGAACAACAACATTGTGGTGGTGAGAGCACAGGCAGCAAACAGGAAGCAAAGAGGAAAAACAACAGGAAGAGGACAAGGCCAAACAGCCACCAAGATGTTCCCTGTGACCTGCTTCCTCCAAGCAGATGGGAGTTTTTACCGTGTCCAAACAATCCATGCACATTCTGACCCATTAAGAGATTAAGCCTATGAACTGCACAGTGGTGCACACCTGTAATCCCAGCACTTGGTAAGGCAGAGGCAGGCGGACCTGTAGATTTTGAGGCAAATTTGAGGCCAGCCTGGTCTCTAAATCCAGGACAGCCGAGGATATACTAACCTACTGTATCTTTCTCTATCCAACCAAATTGACAATCAAGATTAATCCTGAGCTGGGTTAGGGAGAGGTACACTCCTTTAATCCCAGCAGTAGAGAGGAAGAGGGAGGTGGACCTTTGTGAATTCAAGGCCAGCCAGACCAGCCAGGGCAACACGGGGAAGCCCTGTCTCAAAAAAAACTAAACAAAAATATTATTCATCTTTGGACTGTACCACAGCTCAGTGTGTGTGTGTGGTGGTTTGAATGAGAATGTCTGCCACAGGCTCAGATGTCTATAGACACCTGGTCCCGGCTGGTGGTGCTGTTTGGGGAGGCTTAGGAGGTGCAGCCTTGGAGGAGGTATGTCGCTGGAAACAGGCTTTAAAAGGTAAAGATGCCATGCCATTTCTAGTTTGCTCTCTCTGCTTCATGATTGTGGTTCAAGACATGAGCCCTCAGCTGCCTGTTCATGCTACTATGCCTGGGCTTTGCCATCATAGTCTCTTAACCCTCTAGAACCATTAGCCAAAGTAAACTCTCTCCCTTAAGTTGCCTTTGGTTGTGACAACAGAAAAAGTAACTGATAGTCGGAAAAAACATTTGCTCTATAAGCCTGATGATCTGGGTTTGATCCCTGGATCTTAGAGTGGATGGAAAGATCTGAAGCCTGAAAGTTGTCCTCTGACCTTCACATATGCCCATAGCATGCAAATACCATGGGCACACCTGCATATTTGCACATGAATACAAACATACATGATAATAAAACTTTTAAATTAAAGTTTAAGTATTTCAACCTAAAAATGGTTGGTACTCAAAGGCTGGCAGTCAGGCCATTTTGGTGGCAGACACCTGTAATCCCAGCATTCAAGAGGCTGAAGCAGGAAAATGCATCGGCAACAGTGTAAGACTCTACCTTGGCTTGGTGAGATTCCCCAGCAGTTAAGGCCACACACTGCTCTTGCAAATCACCCAAGTTCCATTCCCAGCCCTTGGGCAGTGTACAGCCACCTGGAACTCCAGCTCCAGAGGATCCAACCAGGATGCTGTTTTGGCCTACAAGCGCACTGCATTCACACATTCACTCTCTCTCTCTCTCTCAAACAAACAAAAAGGCTTTTTTAAAAAAAGGTCTCAAAAAATCAAAAGGTACTAAACTGCTCCTCTCCCCAACACATACACAAAGGTAACAGGTATGATGATAGGCACTTTTTTTTAATTTTTGTTCTTATGAGACAGGGTCTCACTGTGTAGCTCTGGCTGTCCTGGAATTTCCTATGTGGACCAGGATGGCCTCTTCCACCCAAGTGAGCGGCACATACATTTAATCCTAGCACGAAGGAGGCCAAGGCAGAAGAATCATCAAAAGTCTGATGGTAGAGTGGGCTACATAATGAGTTCAAGGTTAATAAGGGCTACAAGAGACTCAAAGAAAATAAATAAATGCTTCTCATCTTTCATCATGTGATATCCCATGCTACCTAGGCACTCTGGCAACAAGAGGGCCACAGCCAGATGCCCCTTGACCTTGGACCAGAACCACGAGCCAAAATAAGCCTCTGTGTTTTAGTCACAGAAAATGGACTAATTTCATTGTATGTGTGTGGTGTTCATCCATGGTAGGTGTGTTCACATGCAAATCAGGCTGGGCTCAAACAAGTTTGCTCTTACCTCCTTTTCTCACCTCCTGTTCTGCTGAGGACATTCCTCTACAGTGAGCTAAGTAAGCCTGGGGTCATTTCCCCTGGAGAAGCTGTGTACAGCTCTGGGAGCTCTCAACCATCTGAGTTGCTCCGACAGCTCCACTCTACCCAGCAGCACCTGCCACTGCTTACAACAGCCATTGCGGTGCCTGAATAGCTTTCCACTGTGTCCACGTGTGGCAGCAGCCACAGAAGTCTTTCTACCCCAGAGGGCTGCATAGCCACATTCCCCACTCACAAAGGTTTCTTTTCATCTTATTTTTGTGATTTTCCAGAGATCAGGCATATTGAGAGAGGGGGTAAAGCCAAATAAACAATCCTCTGAACATCCAGGAAATGGCTGCTGGGGCTTTGAACCTCATAGACAACCTGGCCAGCTGTGGACATCTATGCTGGGTCCTCCTCTTCCATCGCCACATCATTGCTAGTACTTTTATTCTGCTCATCCTCTGGCCCTGCAGGCAGAATGCTAGTGACAGTATGCAGGAGGGCTTCAATCTGCTCCTCTGTGAGCCGCTCTTCACTCTCTTCTACCATCTACAAAGGAAAGGAAGTCTGTCAGGGGTTTAGAAGTAAGCCTTCCACCATGGCCCACCCCAGCCATGCAGTGCACAGTGCCAGCCCAGCACCCGGTCCTGAGCCAGCCAGGTCTTCATCTAGGAGCCACAGAAGGATAAGGACAGCTCAAATCCCAGACCAAGGCAAAACAAGCATACAAAATGGGACAGTGAGGCTGATTATGTGTCTGTCTGTCCCCTAACACCACTCTTCCCTTTTTTAAAGATGAAGTATCCCTGGCTGTACTGGAACTCACTATGTAGACCAGGCTGGCCTCCAACACATAAAAATCTGCCTGCCTCTGCCTCCTGAGTGCTGTAATTAAGGGCAGGTGCCACTATCATGCCCAGGCTGGTTATCTTTAAATAAAGGAAAACCCTAACTATTCTATTTCCACTCACATCTATACACCAATATGTTGGGTGTGCCAAGACATTACTTGGGGGGAGGGGGCGACACAGCCCTCAATACACTTTTGGACATCACAACAAGAACCCCTGTCACTTGAGTGGTATCACCCACTCTTCGATGCTGGCTCCCTGTGCCACATGCTTTCTATCTTCCTCTAGTTCTCATCAGCCCTGCCACTCACCAGAACTCTGCAGAGGACTCCTGTGCACCATCTCTTTCCACACTCACTACAATCCCAGCAAGTAGCAGAACTGGACTCGGCCTGGCATTCCCAGGTGGAGAGCCTCCCAGCTAACACACGCCACACTGTGGTTTGGATCCTAAATGTCCCTCAAATGCTTTGTATGGAAGGTTTGGTCCCCAGCCTATGGCACTACTGGGAGATGGAAGAACCTTTTGTAAGTGGGGTTTAGAGGGAGGAAATCAGGATATTGGGGGTGCCAGGACCCTGATCTTTCTCTCCTTGCTTCCAGTTTCCTCAAGGTGAGCAGTTTAAGGAATCATTATTGTCACAGGCATACAGCAACAGAGCCACATGTACCTGGATTGTATCTGAAACCACAACCCAAAATAAATCTTTCTTCTTTGTAAGCTGATTGCTTCATGCCCTTTGTTAAAGCAATAGAAAGCCAATTAACACAACCCACGTGGCCTCACTTGTCTCCATGGGATGCAGAACAGGAGTCTGACAAGTGAATAGAAGAGAATCTGAAGAGATGATGGCTTAGCGGTTAAGAGCCCTTGCTGTTGTTACGGAGGACTTGAGTTTGGTTTCTAGCACCCACATGGCAGTTCATAACCACCTGCACCTCCAACTCCAAACAATCCGACACCCTCCTCTGGCCTCTGCAGGCACCCACATGCACACTCACAAAGGCATACACACTCACACAGGCATACACATACACATACATAAAAAATACTAACTCTTTAAGATTTAAATTAATTTTTTACATGCATGAGCATTTTGCCTGCCTGTGCACCCTATGTGTGTGTGATGCCTGCTGAGACCAGAAGAGCACATCAGATCCCTGAAAACTGGAGTTAAAGATGGCTGTGAGCCACATGGGTGCTGGGAACTGAACTTGGGTCCTCCAGAAGAACAGACAGTGCTTAACTGCCTATCCTCATAAAAACACATCTTTAGAAGTAATATGCAGATACTCAAGGACTAGGTTCACATAAAGGCACGAGTGTGACAAACACCCTTCCCAGATGTAGCTTCCTAACAGCAATATGAAATCGAGCAACTGATACAAAAGGGTGTTTCAGAAAGAACCCTGGCAAACATAACGGAAGAGATACACACAACAGGTTCCAAACCGGAAGAGGATGTCAGTCTGACTGCTTCCTCTCACAGACACAGTATTGTTGATTTAAAGACATCACAAGCCATGTCTAAGAGCACAGCGCAGGTACACACAACACCTTCCACTCAGCCCAATGGTTTTTATAGCTAGAGAATTGTTGTGGGTGTTTCACTTAAGGAGTGCCCTGAACAAATCATTTTCTAAAGGGTTTTTTTGTTTGTTTGTTTGTTTTAATTTAGACAAGGTATCAAGTAGCCCAGGCTGGTCTCAAACTTGCCACGTAGTCAAGGATAGCCTTGAATTTCTGATTTTGCTGCTGCCATCCCCCAAGTGCTGAGACTATTAGGTGCAAACCACCAGGCTGGGTTTGTGCAGTGCCAGAAAAGGAACTAGAGACCCTGCACCTGCTATGCCAGCCCTTTCAGCAACTGAACGACATCTTTATCCCAAATAAAACTTTAGTGGACAAGAACCAATTGTTAGAAGAATGGTGAAAGGACAGCAGGGAAGAACCAGGGGACCCTGGATCAGCACAGGAAGGACAAGTCCCAGGGGGACCACTCCTTCTAGCACACCTCCATTCCTTCGTGACTCCCCCCAAGACTGCTATCTACCAGAGACCCCACAACTGCCACACTTGGCCGGGCCCAAGACTCAACAGTATCTAAGAACAGACACTCACCAAATATCTACATGAAGAAGCGCTGCCAGCACCACAACCCCAGCCCAAACACAGACATGAACAACCAAGACAATAGTCCTCCAGACACCAGCAGCCCTACTGTAATAGGCCCTAGGAAAAGCACCTTAGTTGAAGCACAAGGCAGGGACTTCAAAATAGCAATTATAAATATGTTCAAGGACCATAAAGAAGATGTAAACAGATGTCTTAATGAACACTGTGAAAACATACAATTGAATGAAATAATGAAAATATTTAGAGATGTGGAAGTAGAACTTAATAAAGAAATAGATCACTAAAAAAAAAGCCAAATTGCTCTTTTTCTGTTTCCTTTCCCTCTACCTCTCTCTCAGTCTTTCCCTCCCCTGTTTTTCTGTCTCCCCCTGCATGGTGAATCCCCTGGCCCATCCCTGGAGAACTGTGAACCCTTGGAGAGCTGCCCCCAATAAACCTGCAAGAAGAATAAAGAAGGAGGAAGGAAGGAAGGAAGGAAGGAAGGAAGGAAGGAAGGAAGGAAGG